AATATTTTCTGTTGCAAGGAAGAATTAACCCTAACTAAGTTGAAAGGAGGATGTGTAAAGAAGACAATTAATCTAGTTTCTGTTTATACACATTTCTGTTCAGCAGTACGTAAAGAAATAGTCAAGCCGCAAAGACGGCAAAATAACATTTTGTGAACTCGTACACCACGTGACAACAAAAACTGAAATTTAAGAATTTTTCTTTAAGGTTTCTTTTGAAATAAAGGAATTAAAACTTAGATAAAATAAAACTTTAAACTATATTGTAAATTTTAATGCTAAATGCATTGGTATACGTTGATAGTAACATTCTCAAAAAAAAAATAATAACACAGTAAAATCTCGTGACATGCACAACACAAGGGTACCCGTAATCAGATGGTTAAAGTCCTATTTGCCACTAGCAACACCACACTGCTTGGGTGGCTTAAAAGACTGATCAACCACTACACCATGACAGTGGCGTACCAAGAGGGGGGCAATGGGGCAGTCGTCCCAGGCGCAGGTGTGAATGGGTGCAAAATTTCCTGTGGCCTATAATGCCTATTAATTAATAATTATGCCCTACCCTAGGATATAGTGCAACTGCCCTACGTTAAGTAAATATGACACAGTGTTACGTTATTTGTGTGTATTACGCTTGCAGTTTTAACTTTTAAAAGCCACCCATTGAAACATTGAGACTGAATTGACGTACAGAAGTAAATTACAGTATTCCATCATTAATTTGTAGATCAAATACAAGTCCTAGAATACAAGGTACAAGTAAGTGTATGTTCAACAAAAAGAAAATACGAGATTGATGTAACATATTAACTGATGTGCAAGCTTGGCAATATATGCAACAGGCAAGGCCTAAGTCTAGATCTAAGTCTAGTATCCCAGAAAGTTTCATTGATACAACCTGATAAATGTAACTCTTTCATTAAATATAGATTGAACAATAATTTTATTCACTCTTGTCAATGCTGATCTCATAAATCAGCATATCGTTAAGTCTCTGGTCATTTGTTAATTACTCGTAAAAATTCTTTATGAAGAACTTCAGCGATACAAGTCCGTTTTTCTCAAATAAAACTAGTTTATTCTTTTTCAATTCAACTTTACAATACACTTAATTTCCACAGTCACTTTAACTTAAACACATGCTATAATTTACAATGATTT